TTTTCCCTTCTTTGAGTTTGGACATTCGCGCATTGTGTGTCCAAAACCTCTGCACTCAGAACACTTAAGTTCCTTTCGTTGTGCCATAGGACAGTCAGCCTTCACATGACCAACTCCTTCACACTCGTAGCACTTGATAAAGTCTCTTCTTCTACCATTGCCACGATCACCTCCTTGATGATCATACTGATTTCTGCCACCAGAATGAATCTTCTTACCAAAATTCCTAGCCAACATACCCACAGTATCTTCAAGCTTCTGGAATATATCACCATCTTTGTCAGCTGCAAGCGCTATACTCCCTAGCGCACTGCTGGACGTAGAGACTGAACTACTATCTGTCTCCATCTCTTGTGCCTTCAGCATACCCACAAGCTTATCAAACTTGAGCTCATCCGTGTTGGTAGTCATCTGCAGGACTGCCTTGTGAGCTTCAAACTTCTTTGGAAGACAACGTAGTAACTTCTTTACCAGCTTCTTCTCCTTGTACTTCTTCCCAAGTACAAATGCTTCATGCGCCATAGCACTGAGTTTGGCATTAAAGCTCGCCACAGAATCAGCATCCGACCATCTGAGATTCTCAAACTGCGACCCAAGATGATCTAGGCGTGTCCTCTTGACACTCTCATCTCCCTCAAACGAATTCAGCAGGATCTCCCACGCCTCTTTAGCTGAAGTACTCCCCTGAATCAGCTGAAACTGTTCTGCTTCAACAGCTCCAAAAATCACCGATAACGCCTTTGCATTAAATTTTGATGCACTGCGCTCTGCCTCTGACCAATATTCTTTTGGCTTAGGCTTCTTCTCATCTCCTGTGACTATGGTGGGCTCCTCCCAACCAATCTCCACAGCTGTCCACGCATCTTCATTGATTCCTCGAATCATCTGCTTCATGCGAGCCTTCCAATGACCATACTGGTCCGCATTCAACATGATTGCCTTCTGCATCGTAACAATCGTGTCCATCTTCACCTTCAGGATTNCAATAGCTTTATTCAAATCTTCTTTAAACAATCTTTACAAGACCTTGTTTATTCAGCTTTACACGTCTAGTGTTAACACCCTAACACACGTCACTGAAAGATTCCTAAGCTACTCACTTATGTCTCTCTGCCGTCAAGTACTTCAGCCTCTGCTTCAGCACGACCCAAGAACACCTTAAGAGCTTCTCTCTCTCTATAAAATTAGCCTCCGTGTCTCTGTCTCTCTACAGACGCCACCATAGCTATCTTATAGTTATTCTCCACGTTCCCAAAACCCTAGTCTTCAAGGAACACAATATGGACATCTTCCATAACATTAAGTGCAACTTTCCTTTTCTTGAAATGCACTGATTCCTCTTTCTTTAAGTCATAAACTTTCTCCTCAAGTTTATTCCTCTTGCCTTTTTCTCCAAGATACACCCTTGCTCTCCAAGTCTACACGACTCCAGCTCAGCATCTTGACTCCACATGGTTTTCACCACTCAACACGACGTCTGCCTCAGCAACTACGTCAGCGACTACTTCAGGGCGGACATCTTACATCTTCAGGGGGGGGGGGAGGTGATGCTAAAGAAGTTATGTATAATCATGAAACGCATCAGGCAGATAAAAAGAGGAAGAGGGAGGTTGTTAGTGGGAAGAAGATAAAGGGTGGACAACCTGTTATGAAACAGAAGAGGCTGAGTAGGTATTTCAGGAGGCCTGTTTTGGTGGATGAGGATAGGAACAATGACCTTATTGTTCGAGTTGAGCGGCTGGAAAAGTTGGTAGAGATGCTAACGAAGAAGCTGCGTAGGAGGAAGAGGTCGGGGTTCACGCCTAGGAAGGATGTTTTTTTCAGTGGACATGGCAGGAAAAAAATGGAGAAAAGTCCTGAATCTAGTGGGGAGGACCCAATGTATGATGACGAGAGCCGTGGTACAGAAGGTTTCCGAGTCGGAAGCCCTGCATTTTATGTTGGCGAGGGGAGTGCTCCTGATTTGGTAGTAAAAGATTTAGGGGCACATGCAAGAAGTTTGAAATATGAGAGTAGTCGAGATGAAGAGGCTGTGGATGATGTGGTAGAAGGGAGTGAGCCAATGGATGGGGATGATGTGGAAGTAGAGGCGAAGGATAGTGAGTCATCTGGGTCAGTTGTGATATTAGGACTCCGAATGAAGAGACTGGGGATGTGGATGAGGATGATGTGGATGATGTGGTTGAAGGGAGTGAGCCACTGGATGGGGATGATGTGGAAGCAGAGGCGAAGGATAGTGAGTCATCTGGGCCAGGTGATACTAGGACTCCGAATGAAGAGACTGAGGATGTAGATGAGGATGCTGTGGATGATGTGGTAGAAGGGAGTGAGCCAATGGATGAGGATGTTGTGGAAGCAGAGGCGAAGGATAGTGAGTCATCTGGGCCAGGTGATACTAGTTCTCCAAATGAAGAGACTGGGGATGTTGATGAGGATGGTGTGGAGGAAGAGGCCGAGGAGAGTGAGTCCTCTGAGGGAGTGGATGAGGATGCTGTGGAGGAAGAGGCCGGGGTTAGTGAGCCCTCTGGGCCTCCTGACGTGCTCATACCACTTAAGAAAGGTGATGGGGTCCCCAAACAATGGGTGGTGGAAGGAGTGAAAGGTTATCGTAGTGCTACACTTTACCGGGGTACGACCAGTAACTCATTCTACGTGACAGATGAGGAGGTACGTGAAATATATTTTTTAAAAATGGTTCTGGATTGTCTTATTAAGGTTCAGAGTCACTAGTGCGATCGTTTTTGCAGGTTTCCACAGGTGGTAATAACTCGGGTGTTGTGGGAGTTGAGACAAGTGGTGGTTTGGTTATAACCGAGGAGGTTAGTTGGTGTTTAGACAATGTTTTGCAGTCGTAAGGTGTCACTGATTGCGTATGCGTATTTTGCAGGGATGCTCGAAAGTGTCTGGTGGAGAGGTTTATGAGAGTGGCGATGTGGAGGAAAATGTTAGTGGGGAGGTAGGCATTTATTGATTTTTTTTTTTGGATGTTATTTGTTATGTATGTTTTTGGGTCTAAACTATTTTTTTGGTGAAGGATGTTGGTGGGCTAGACAAGCTGATAGGGGCAATAGTCAAGGAACATGGTGGATCATTTGGAGATGGGGAGAAGGCATCAGAGGTGGGGAGATGCAGTAAGGTATATCATACATGTGTACGAATATAATGAATATAACAGTAAAGGGAGTTTAGTGTACATATGTACAGAAGAAATGTGTGTACAACTAAGTGTGCTTGGTTTCATTGTTTTTCTGGATATAGTCGCAGGTGGTGGATCAAGTGGTAGATAAGGAGGTCCAGTGCGAAAGTGATGCTGTATCAAAGGAGGGCGTTGCTGCTATTGTAGAACGTGAGGCGTCAGACATTGATGAAGAGGAGGGGCACAATGAGGGGGAGCAGGTATGTTGTGTAGGGGTTTAACACTTTGATTAATATGGATTCTAACTTTTTTTTATTTGTCTTGGTAGGTTTTGGCCGATGTTGTGGCTGCAGATGAGAGAGTGACATGTCTGAGCGACTCGTCACCATGTGAACGTAGTGAGAAGCATAAGCCAGAGGAGTTGGAAGGGAATCTGGCCGCTCTATTGTTGGCAAAGGGACCTTTTAGACTGACAGAGAATGTACCGGTTCTGGAGGACCCGGACTTTGTTTTCTTTGAGAAAGTCTTGATGTCAAATCCGAAAGTGTGAGTATGAGGTTTTACAAGGTTTTGCTGCCATGGATTTTTCTTCAAAAATGAACCAGGTTGCTTTGATGCAGGCTGCATTTGGGAGCTGGTAAGTACGATTTGGATAACGAGTTTTTCCTAGATCTGGCAACTCCGCAGAAGTGGGTTTCGAGCAAGGTATGTTAATTGGATACGTAATTGAGAATGGCAGTGGCATACTGATGTGTTGAGGTTGGAATATGACCACTTTTGTTTTTGTTTACGTTGCAGCATATTGAGGTATTGGTTGACTTTATTAGTGAGAGGCATCATGCTTTATTGGCGGAGAAGAGGGCTATGTTTGTGGCACCATGGTTTATGGACCGCCTAGCAGGCAAAGCCAGGTCCTTTAATGCTGCAACCTACAAGGGGAGAGTCTTCTCAGACCCTAAACTTGCGAGTTATTTGACTGCCGAAGGGAAGAAGCTTGGTGTGGATGTTGACACAGTGTACGCACCTATGTTTTGGGGTACCAACCACTGGGTGGGACTGCGGATAAGCATAGTGGACTGGAGTGTTCTTGTGTATGATCCTGATCAAAGTCTTAGACCATTCGAGGATGTGATTAGTATAATGGGTCCTATAGGTAAGATGCTACCTTACCTAGTACGCAAGGTTTGCTCCCCAGAGCATTGGACGGGTCATAGTCTTTAACCATTTGGGATCCAGCTGATGGCGGATGGGTATCAGAACACCCGTAGTGGGGACTGCGGTCCAGTGGCCATGAAATTTATGGAGCTGGCGGAAACTGAGGTTGAGGAGCCGGAGCTGGAGGATTTGACAGACGAGTTGGTTGACTATTTTAGGAAGCAGTATGCCATGGACGTGTATTAGGAGTGGATAGTTCCCTTGTACATGGGGGCCTTGAACTAGATATGTAGTTGTTTTTTTATGTTTTTTGTGTACTGAACGGGTAAATATTTTTTGGTGTAAGATTTGTGATTGCCGATGGAATGCATTGAACGAATATGTACTGAATGACTATTAACTAGTAGTGATAATGACTTTTTATGTTAAATTTTTTTTGTGTGTTTGGAAAAGAGTTAACCGACGAGAAAGACGATCAAATTGTAAGTACAGATGAGTACAAGGGGAGGTGTACACATGTACAAACATAATGGTGTAGGGATTTTAAGTGTACACATGTGCAACAGAACTCGTGTACATATTAATACGAGTACATAGATACGTGGGGGAATCCTATTACAAGACAAGGGAGTTAAGACAAGTAGAATACATAGTGGTAGACAAGTGGGAGCCAGGGCACATAGGTAAGAACATGAGATTGAAGACCAAACTAGAACAAGACCTTGTAGCAAAGGAAGAGGAAAAGTACAGATATAAGCATGTTTCTCAAACCCTTAACCTCGATCTTGAGACCTTTAATGTCCTGCTCTAATTCAGAGAGGTTTGCTTCTAATCGATGAACCAGTGTGGAGGAGGCGCGGCTTTCTAGTGTAATAGATTGTATTAGACTGGTGGAGTTGTTTAAGCGCTTGCCATCTTCTGCAATAGCTGATTCAAGGTCATCAATTCTGGGTTTTATATCCTCTATCTCTTCCAACATCGCTTCATCAGTCCATTTGAAAACATGGGACCGATTGTTCTACATACAAGACATTAGAAGACAATTAGGTTAAAGATAAGTTGGAAAAGGATTAAAATTTCTGAATTTGAGATTAATTACAAAACCTCGTTGCCAAAGAGGCAGTTGTGAATGAGTCTTCCCGGGTTAGTTCATATGCGAGATGTATTCCGTGAGACCCGGGAACCACAGCTACAGTGGGTTGGAAATCCGCAGCTTGTGTCAACCATAATGTGGTGCTATTTTTTTTTGATAGAGAAGAAAGATGAAAAACCTAATTTTGGTAGAGGAATCGTGTTTCTTCAACTTTAAGGGGGGTGGGGGAGATATGGCAATGCGGCGCCGTATGAAAGTTGTGAGAAGTGTGGATAGAAGGAAAGTATGGGCCCAACTAACTAGTGAAAAGAGGATAATACATAAGAGTATCTTAAGTGGTTGTACACATAGTAGTCTATAGTACACTCGTTACGTTGTACATGTGTACAATGATTTGGTGAGTTCAAACTTAAAATGGAAACTCGAAAATAACATAAGTGTTGCTGTTGAAAAGAAGGATCAATTTAGACATGTTCACAGTTGTTTTAGACATGTTACACCAAAAGCATACAAAAAATTAACAAAAGAACTGATTCTGGGTAAATTTGCTATCCAAAAGGCGGGAGCTATGGATATAAGATTCACCAATTTCAGATTGGGCGGACACATCGAGTACGGTTATGACCGGTGCCACCGCAGCGGCCACATTTGTTGGGAACTTGTTTGGTCTTCTTTGGAACCTGATGAAAGAGAGAGAATAGAATTGTGAGGATCTGATTGGAAAATTTGGAAGCTGATTTTAAGAGGGGGAAGATAGGTACCTGATCTCTCCGGTGGATGGTTTTCTTTTTTCCTGAGGGCGTTCAGAAGGGCGACGTGTTTGAGGAGGGTGGATAGTAAGATCAGAAATAGCTGGTGGGATAGGGTGGTCGCCAAAGGGGACTTCAGGGAGAATATAGCCAGTGTAGGTTTCAATCCAGGATTGTGTCTTGTAGCAATCACCAACCAATTGGTTGTAGGGGAGACCAGCAGAGTCAGCTGCAAAAAGAGCATGGCCACAAGGGATATTTAGTTATTGGAAGACTTGACAAGAACAAACCTTGGTATCTAGGTGGACATGTCGATCAGATATGATGCTGAGTGTTCCAGAATCTGCAATAATCCTTTCAACCTTAGTTAGAAACCAGGTCCACGCCTCTTCTGTTTCACCATCAACCACACCAAAAGCAAGAGGGAAGACTTGGAAGTTGGCGTTTTGTCCACTTGCGGTTACGAGTACGCCTTTGTATTTGCCCGAGAGGTGAGTACCATCAATAATAAGAACAGGCCGCAAGCGCCGGAAACCTATGATAGAAGCACCAAATGCAAGGAATCTGTACAAAAACCTAGTGTTGCCTTCAGTGTCAACCTCGGTTTCAATATCAGTGACTGTGCCCGGATTAGTAGCTTTTAGGCGCTCGAAATAACCAGCTACATTGAGGTAAGAGTCCTCAGCATTACCATGAGTGATGTCGATAGAAATGCCTTTGGTGCGATGGCATTTCATATAGGAAGCATCAACCCGTAAATCTTCAAGAATGAGTTGCTGAAGCTGCATTGCTTTGGGAGCATCTGTGGTGTCGCCGTACTTTGACTGATATATGTGTGCTAAAACCTTTGAAGTAGCACGCTATCTATACAGCTTCCGAGTGTCAGTATCACAGGTGTAGTCCAACTGACACTTCTTAAGAGTGTAGTAACCACATGTGGTAAGCTTCTTAGCGAGAATCCTCCATGGACAACGAACATCATGACAGCTGAGAACAAATGAGTGCCTGCTGGTCCGGGTTTGCCTGAAATAAAACTGTTCTTTGATTGCGTAGATGGTGAGGCTTATTTGACAGTCTTCCTTTGACACATACATTTTGCCAACGTAAGGTTCATCCTCGTCTAAATCCAAGTCTGGAATAACTTCAGATTCATACGCGGTGTCATCAAAGAGGGGGGGGGACATCAAACTCCTCATCACTGATCTCTAAGAGGGGTCTGGTTTCACGGGCAGGTGGGGTGGGGGGGGTGAGGCGGGTGGTTTTCTGTGTAGGTAGTACGGCCTGAACTTGTTGGTGCTGAGGAAGAGTGTTTGCCAATTGACGCTGGAGAAGAGTGTTTTGGTGGGCAGCTCCGATTATGTACAGGTGGATCATGGGGAGGTTGGACAGAGGTTGAAGATGGAGGGACTTCAGGTTTGCAGTACGGTGGGAGTTTGCCTGAGACTAGTACTGTGTGGTCAAAAGCATTTCCTATGATGCAACGGATAATATGGGGCGCAGTCTTTGGTACTGAGATGTCTGCCATAATCTCAGCAGCGCCAGAGCCTCTCAGAGGGTCATCAATGAGTGGAGCCCAGAAGTCTTGGTCGTAGCCATGGGGTTGAACCTCATCAATATCACCAGGAAGAGAAGCATCAGACGCACTTGCGCCGTCGTCATCGGAGACCCAAGTATCAGGTATGTTGCCACGATCTTCTTTGAACATTTATTTCAGTAAATCATCATCGCATAGGAGGGTGTGGTCGGTAACCGATAACGTGGGGTTTTCGATGGACCGGAGCTCCCAGCATCTGCAAATTGATGATCCAGACTATCGTTGGTGTGGAGAGGGAAGGCTGGAATCTGTGAAGGTGGTTTTGGAAGCTGGACCTGTGGGCAACTTTGAGTGTGTACAAGGGGACCTCTCTTTCGTTGTACAGGTGGACAGCTGTGTGGTTGTACAGGTAAACCACTCCCCCGTTGTACATGTGGACAACTTTGTGGATGTACACCACCGTCTGAAGGGGGTTGTACATGTGGACATCTCTGATGCTGTACATCCGGGCTATCCAGTTCATCATCGCTGAAAAGGTTGAAACGTGGAATGTGAAACCTAGCGGTTGAGGAGGAAGAGAAAGGAGTGTGTGTCCTTGTGATAGGTTGGTTGGGAGTGGTGAAATGAATTAGGCTGTCAGTAACTCGGGTAATCTGAGGGGCACTGAAGGTGACAAACAAGTTGATTCCTTTGTTTGCTTGAAAATACTGGTAGAAGTAGGAGACAACACAGTCGTTTGTAAGCATTACTTGGGGATGTGGTTAGGCCGGTGGCAAGCTCCTTCGAGTTAGGTGGCCAGTAGCTAAGTACGCCGGTACGGAGGCTATCATGAAAGCCGAAGAACTCTCTAAACACACTACTCAGCAGCTCAGACAATGGAATCCCCTGGCGAATTGGTACAATCCTTGTCATGTTGTCTTTGTCTACAGAGAAGATCCAGTGGTTGTCTGAAGAGCTGACCCACTGACCGGCGATAACCATACAGTGGTCAGAAATTGGAGTCGCCTGCAAGTATAAGAATGATAATCTCAGTAACGATTAGAGCTAATAACGATTACTTAGGACTGATAATCTCTGTATAAACGTGGGTGTACCTGGGTAATTGTAAACGAGGGTGAAAATAAGGGAGGTGAAAATCGACAGTGAAAGAGATGAGGTGAAAAGAGAAGAACGATGAAGATGGCAGGTAAGAAGAGGAGTAGCTGTGGTAGAATCTGAGCCATCCGTTTGGGGGAGATTTAATACACATCCAATGGCCCAGATGGAAATCAGAATCTGTCATGTCTAGATCTATATAAGTGCATCTGGGCTGTCCATTTATTTCGCAGATCAATGGCTCAGAATTAATCCCGCCTTTAATTGACTCAGTTATACCGGTTAGTTAGGAAAAGTTAACTGGAAATCATTGTTTCTAACTAATTTCGAGCAATAAGTGTTCTAGTATACAAAAGTGACTCAGGGTGTTATACATAAGTGATAATGTGACTCTGATTGTAAAATTCTCATAAATGAACACATGTACGCACTCTATTTTCACCAAACAGAAACTTTCTTCAACAATAAGCTTGGGACAAACAAAAAAATGGGCAAAATATAGTAAAAGATATATAAAAACACATGTTCTCGTCTCTTGAGTTTGCAAAGTTGCAAAGACGCTAGAATTTCGCAAAGAATGATCTTACTCTTGGACACTTATACACCCTGTGACCACAAATTTCGCCTATCTCTCTTCTCTCAGTGATAACCAGAGCATGTAGCATGGTCCCAAAAACTTAATGAATCTTGAGACCACAAAAATTGGAAGGAAAAAAACAAAAATTGTGAGAACACGCTGTAAAAGTAAAACAATGTTTCAGTGAACATAACTTGAAACAAAATAACACGAACCAATGATGCCATAACAGAGAGTGACAAGTTTGAGGCCGCATGTGGCCTTGTTTTCTTCGTGTATCCGTTTAAGCAGCTCGTAGCATTCTTTTTTGGTATAGGCAGTGGAATCCTTACTGAGGTTAAGCTCCGACGCATCAAGCCGGTCTATCTTTAGTACTTTATACACTCCACTACCATTCCAACTAATCATATAGAAATTCTGAAGACAACAAAAAAAAATGGATAAGGAACTACATAAGCATGTAATCATGTGCTAATCACCTATATATAGTTTACTGATAATCTTTTGTGTTCAAGTTAGGACGGGATACCTCTCTCAGCGTTCCTTTTTGTTTAACAAAAACCTCATAGTACTTTATAAGAAGAGATCAGACTTCTCAGATCGAAGCTTCCTGTAATCAGAAACTGAAAGACGTCCTAGATTTTGCTGGATGAATCTGAAAGCAAAACCAAAGAAGGATACAATAGTAAGGGATCATAAACAAATTATAAAATTATACTCTTTGACCTAACTCATATTAGGATATAGTTCATAAAAGCTATCACCTGTGTAGAAGATTAGAAGTCAGTAAGTTATGGAACTCTCAACAAAGTAGGTATCCAAGAACTTACTCTAAAGCATAGGAAGGCTTGTCATAATATGTCCGATCAAACTATTTGATACAGAAACTGTTGCAATAGGTTTTAGTGAGGGTATAATATAGAAAAAACAT